GAAAGAGAGGGGGGGGGGGGGGAGTGGATTATTCACACCCAACACCAAATTCAGGGCTAGAGAACAATCACATTCCCAGTATTGCTGGCCTACAACTCCCAGCACTCCTCAGGCTTGGTCCTGCTTCCAGGGGATGCTGGGAGTTGTGGGTCAGCAATTCTGGGGTTTTCAGAGGTTGCCCATCCCACAGCACCAGCTACTGAGGTCCGATATTCTCGGCTCTCGTCAAAACGCAAACTCCTTAGCTGGGGATCCAACTTCACCATCAACTTGACTCGTGAACTCCTCCCTCTCTCTGTTAGTGGTTGTTAAGAAAAGGAAAATTTATTTATTTTATTGAAATCAACTCCTCTTTGGAGAGTGCAAGTCAGCCTGAGGGGTTCCTGTGGGCTAGCTGTATCATCTATTTGGTCTGTGATTGATGGAAAGGCTGTAAATTGTTTTATAGTGAACTAAATTTTCAGTAGAAGACAACTAAATAAGTGAACTTTTATTTTCCTGCCCGATTTAACGTTAAGAAGTATTTATTTTTTTCCTCCAAACTGAACGTTTCCAAAAGCGTTTCTAAAATCTCCCCATGAGGCAGGATTTTTAAAAATCCATAAAAAACGATGGAAAAAGGAAAAAAATTAGCTAGTGCTGAGGCTATGCCTGCAGCCGATTACAGTTTTATAAAGAAAAAAAAATGTACATCTTTTAAAAATCTTTTCTCCCCTCTCCCTCATACTTCGCGTAATAGCCTTTGTTTTGATTTATTGTTTTCTTCTCTTTAGTTTGATCTTCTCTGATTGGTGAAAATCAGGCGCAGATCCCCTCCCTTCTAACTTCCTTCCTTTTTGATTGGTTATAGAACTCGGCGTGTATTCTGATGGCTACCTTTGATCGACCACGGCTGTGACGTCATAACCCTGCTACCCAATGAGAGCCCATTAGATTGCCTTTTGTTGATTGGCAGAGACAGGCTGAACCCGGGAAAAAAGCCTCCGTCTCTCAGAAGTGTTTTTGGTGTGCGCGTGGTGGGGTATTTTTGGTGGCTCGCCAGATCTGGGATCAGCAGAAATCCAGGTGGGTTTTGACTGCCGTTTCTTATTCATTTAGCACCAGACACACTAGGAATTTTAGCTTCAGTAATTGCACGGAAGATGGGATTTCACCCAGCGCTGCTTTAGGCCATCAAGTCGAATTTCATGGAATTCATGGCTGCCGGATCTGCGCTGCGAAACTCCCTACAACTTCTGGAGAGCAGCAAGGAGTTAACCTCTCTGTTGCCATCAAATGATCGTCCGGAAGTTTGCAGCCCAGATCCGGGAGCCCGGGTAGATGATGGTGATTTGTCTGCTATCCTTAAAAAAAAATAGGGCATTTCTTCCTAATAGACAAGACGGGGAGAAGAAGTCAGTCCAGTAGCGGTTCTGCCGTTTCTAGGGCTGGAACTGGTTTAGAAAAAGAAGCATATTTTGAAGGGTGAAAGGTCTGCAAGGATTTATCTAGCCCAGCTCCCTGTTCCCCAGGGTGCCCAGCCAAAGGCCTCTGAGAAGTCTGAAAGAAAGAGCCCCTGCAGTGTTTCGGCTCACACATTGTGCTAAATGGTGGTTTGCTTCATCATGGTTATTGAACAAACCATAGTTAGCTGGGTCTCTGCAATGGATGATATCATTGGTCATGATTTGCCAACCACAGTATTCTACCTGGTACTATGGTTTTGGCATCACACTAAATCAAACCACCAACAGTGGGCAGACCCAACCAATGTTCACAATTTCCTTCATTCAGTCGTCTTACCTCAAAAGCTGCCATGGATTGTTTTAATGGCCTAATCTGCCTTATCCTTTGCATATGAAATGGCCCTGCAAGGGCAGCAAAGAAGCTGATAGCCTGTGGAACTAAATAAGAATGACATTTTGCTTCTGTTGCTATGGTGATAGAGTGCCAGAAATCACTCTGAATTGGTGAAAGTGCATCTCCCAAATGTTGATGCTCTGAGCTCTGCCTTTGTAGGGAACAGCCTTCTGCATATGTTTGGAGGCGCTCCTTCCTTGGGGTGATCAAGGTGCTTGGGCCTCAGCCCTGGAGAGTCTTGGCTCAGATTAAGCCCAAGTTTCAGGACATCAGGACTAAGTTCCAGTGAATTGGAGAAGTTTGGAAATTGGGGCTAAGCTGGATTCTTGCTGTCTTGGGAGTGTGTCTGAATGAAGTGGAGAACACCGGGGGCAGCTGCTTCACCCAGGATAATTTTAGGGCAAAACTCACCCAGCAGCAGACTCCGTCCTGGGCTTACAGGTGAAAAGGGCACATTGACATTCATCATCTCAAGGATGGTGGGGCAATTTTTCCAAAGTGTAGGTCCTACATGGCCTTTAAGTGGTGTGTTGAGGGCTGTACTCTAAAACGTTATGGGTGGGCTGAGATAAAAAATTGATTCGATTTCATTTCTTTTACATATAATTGAAATTAAATAGGAGTTACTCTCTAATTATGTTTTTAATACTTTTCCAAAGTAAAATGTGGTTAAAAACTAGGTTTCTGGAGACCACATCTAAAGCTTTGAGGACAGCATAATATCCCATTTCCTTGGCAAAAGTGGCTTTCATGTAGGAAATGTATTACAGGAGAATGCCTGAAATAGTATCTCTTGCTTTTGGCAAACCGCTTTATTAAACCAACCTTCCTTCCTTCCTTCCTTCCTTCCTTCCTTCCTTCCTTCCTTCCTTCCTTCCTTCCTTCCTTCCTTCCTTCCTTCCTTCCTTCCTTCCTTCCTTCCTTCCTTCCTTCCTTCCTTCCTTCCTTCCTTCCTTCCTTCCTTCCTTCCTTCCTTCCTTCCTTCCTTCCTTCCTTCCTTCCTTCCTTCCTTCCTTCCTTCCTTCCTTCCTTCCTTCCTTCCTTCCTTCCTTCCTTCCTTCCTTCCTTCCTTCCAGGTGTGACTGATCATGGCATCATCAGAGAGGGGCAAAGGGAAGGAAAAGGACTCAAATGCCCAATTTCAGGCCCTTGTAGGCGAGGAAGAGAAGGCAGCCTGCCAAGCCTGCAAATATGAGATGTGTGTGAATCCATCTGATCCTCAGCAGCACATAGCCACCAATGGGTGTGACAGCACCTCAGAGTCTTCTGCATCCCAGACTGACAAGGAACATGGTGTTTCAGAGGGTTCTGGTCTTGCAAACACCATGTTCAAGAGGACAAAGGTAATAGGGAGTATATCCTGTGAGCGAATCACATAGCAGTGTAAGCTTCAGTGCATCACAAGAGGGTCCTGCAGGTAGGCTGGTTCTGATGCATTAAAGAAGATATCAGTGGGGAGGCAGATCAAAAGATGCCTTCTTAGGAACTGCTAGTGTCTTTTTTCAAAATGCTTCTGTGCATTTCTGTTGCATTTGTTCACCCACCAGGCATTTTCTGCATCTGCACATCTATCGCATTGATGCCTTAATTTATGAATCTGTTTTATTTATGCATCTATCTCATTCATCACTAGTCTAATCCTCGGAAAGTTCTGTCTCTCTGAGCCTTCTTTGACCCTAAGAATTTCTTGCGAAGCTGTAGGAATTATTTAAAGCTATAGTTTGTGAGAAAAGCTAATAACAGAGTTCCTGTGATGTGCTAAGTTGTGATTTGTTTAGCCATAGTTTCTTGAGTAATGATGATTGCCTGGCTTTATGCAACAACGTAAGCTGAGACCAGACCAACTATATGGTGGTTTACTGTATAGGGAAACCTGATCTCTGGATGCTTTTTCGATGTGTGTGAATGTAGGATGTTAACTTTCTTCTCTCCTAGATACTGGGTCCAAAGTCTAACAAGTACCCAAGGAAATTAAAAAGCTTTCCTTAACTGCAAATTGCCCTAAAAACAAAATAGCAAATCCCAGTGATTATAAGAAGCTATGCACCAGGATTGGTTTTATTGTTATTTAATGCTCAGACCCCAAAGGAGTCTAGCCTACCATACAAAGATCCATTTTAAGCTTTTCTCTGCCCTCCATAAAGGCTGCCATGTCGAGCACACATCTAATGTCTTATTATCCAGTTGTAAACTGGCCACTGCAAAGGGGTGGGGCCATTTTATTATTCCCCAACAGAATAAACATTTGCTTTACTCTGATTTCCACTGCCAGGCCTTGCATTCCTGCTCAATGAAGACAAACGAGGAAAAAGTAAATGAGGCAGTAGTAACGAATGGGCCCAGCACATCTCCAGTGCCATTCCGGTTTAGTGCCACTCCCACCTTGGAAGACATGTGAGGACTCTTATCTCATCCCATCTACCCTTAATTCATGCTTCTTCCCCTTTTGGAAGAAGAGCTTATGGATAATCACTCCCTCTGCAGAGCAGTGTTTCTCAACCTTGGCGACTTGAAGATGTGTGGACCTCAATTCTGAGAACTGAAGTCCACGCGTCTTCAAGTCGCCAAGGTTGAGAAACACTGCTCTGCAGAGGGAGTGATTATCCATAAGCTCATCTTCCAAAAGGGGAAGAAGCATGCATTCAGGG